GCATGGGCAACCTCCTGGTAGTGCGGAGCAGAATCATAAACTCGAGTTCGGAATACAATAAAATGGTTTATAATGTTGGTATATAACCATACCAATTACAAGGATCCTAGTACGATCATACCAGTGACAGTAGTGGAGGGCCTCAAAGTTGCTGTATTGGGGAGCGTCCCATGAAACGTCTACCAAATGATGAAGTGATAAACATAGCCGCTGATTAGTAGCAAAAGAAATTTAAAAAGCCAAGCCTGAACAAAAATATTTATGGATATGATGGTGTCACAATTTGCTCAAATTCTCCCTCACGGTCGACGGAAACCTGACTGGAATATGAACGAAGAAAATGAATGATTTTGCATTTTTTGCAAAATTCTGTTAAATGAATTTTTATTTATGCATTTTTGCCGATTCTTGTCCAGCATTTTTACGATATCAATAATCGATACAGATCGTTACTTCTGAAATTGAACAGACTTTTTTTACATTTTACTTATCATATCAGTTTCCAAAATAAATAAAAGCATGATGGGAAGGAAAATTTCGAATTTTCCATTTTTTACTCATTTTTCCGCTTGTTCTTTTCCTCAGCGACATTTTCCCCTTTTCGTTTTCTTTAAGCGTTATCCCCCCTTCGGTGGATTGGAGCAGAAGAGAAGGGCCTTTAGGATTGTCAGGCCCATCATCCGATACAATGGGCTCTCGTCTATCCTCTTGTCGTGTACTAATAGGTGTACTCAGGTCAGGACCACGGATTGCTCTCAGAGCAGAGGTTGCCCAGACCTGCATTAGTGACGACAGTCATCTACCGATGGGGGGACATAGTTCATAAACATTCATTGAAAGAGTTCATGGCTTCATCCAACATGAAGCATTGAACGACTCCACGATTCGTTCGCTAATAGCGATTATGAAGGGCTTATATAAAGGCAGGTTACCAAGAATGGGATTATCACGTGGACGGGTTTAAATTCGCGTACAATACAGCCCAGCACAGCTAGCTGAATACCACATCGGCATTCGTTAATCTCGGACGACAACCGGAATCAGCCAATTCACTGCGAGGAACGCTGGACCGAGACATTGAGGTTGACGAAAACCCACCCGAAACATGGGTGCAGCGGATAAAATGCCAGCACTAGGTTAGCCATCCACCGCGCCCTAACGGAGATCAATGATCGACAGACTCGAGCTTATACCTTACGTCAGAGAAATGGAGAATTCGAAGTGGGAGAACTCGGATTTGTTCAAAACCAGGAGCCGGTAAATGTTGTCAAGTACAGCTCAGCCTCATTGACCAAATGGTTTGGTAATAGGCTAGAATAGCTGCTATTGTTTCCAACTATTGCAGTAACATGATTGCTTTTTATTTTGATGGCCAACCTACAGTAAATGAATATTCGTGTCGGAACTAAGTAGCTATTAATGAATTCAGCCTCTTTAAATCATCTCACATATTTTTATGAATACTCAGGTAGCTGTACAGGCGCCCCCTACTTCGGTTTCCCTTCTAAAGCAGTTGATTTAAATTTAAGTAAATTATTATTTCTGAGGTCTTCACAATAAATTCAACGTGGAGTGAACCACATTGATCCTAAAGTATCAAGCAAGCCTCAGCCGCAACCGCAGTTAGCGTGACCGCGGGTTTTGCGATGTGGACGCGACTGTTATGAACCCCACCAAAGGTCGACATAGACCGTTCTACTCCGTCTAGGTATTGTAATCGGGTATTTTTGTTTCCTCGATCGTTCGTCGGGATTTTTAAATTCTAGACTAGATAAGAAGTTTCACGTGTGACGAGGCGAGAGTCTAAATTAATTAATAATTATGGACCTTTCTAATTTGTTCATGATTATTTGGTTGTATTGTGCCATTTCATCCCTCACTAGTAATTCATCGTCGGCTAGATTCTGTATCTACGAGGGATTCATCACGGGAGCCATATTTCCAAGTCTTGGAAACTGTGGAGTATGAAGTATCGGAGGCAGCGTTTTAAGGATGTTTAACGGATACCGACAATATTCAATACAGTTTACATTTTCCTTTACATAATAACGAAGAGCATGAATCATAAGCAAGTCATATTTTCGACCGTTCGATCCGTCCATTCTAGCCAGATGATGATTAATGAAAACACTTGTTTCTAACATAGAGTCTTATGGAAAAACATGACCGCATTAGTTTTGATTGCAAAGGGCACTATGATACGCACTCAATATTATTAAAAAAATCGACTTGACAATATTCGGAATATTCTACCGACGAGAAAAATTAAGTTACCCGATGCAACACGCGAGAAATTTTCAATTGATGTTTGAAAAGATCTGAAAAAGGTGACCGCCATTACGATTAAAAAATATTGACTACGTTGTCCTTATAGCTGAGAAATATTATTAATATCGAAGCTGATTTATTTCAATTTATCAATTTTATTTTCCTACACGCCTGCTTACTTGAGTGGTTAAATATACTTACATGAACCGTACTGCAGTTTGGTTCATTTGGAAGATCGAGTAGTGACCTCTGTACCGAGGAGTTGGAGATTCTGAGACTAAGACAACAAATTATTGTTTGCAAAGGAAACCTCCTTCGCATCATCGGATGCCGAAAATTATTCATAATAACTTATTAATGATTTCTGTTATTGTTATTCATTAGTTAGTTATTTTATTTTTATTTTTGAGAATGGTTGAGAAGTTGACATTTACAGTATTACTTCATTTTCATGTTGCAATTGGCGGGAGCGAGTTACATTTGAATTGAGCTCCTTTGATTAAACACGATGTCAACGGTCAATCAGAGCTCATTTGTCGTCATAAGCTAGCTACCTCCGCAGTTAATGTGCAGCGCTATCAGCAACTGTTCCTTTGTGTCAGTTAACTTTTTCTTGTCCTTCGACGTTTCGGAAGAAAACGTTTCAATGCTCAACTTTCGGAAATTTTTGTTATGTGGGACGCAGAGGGCAGCGAATATTTGCTATTTTCCTATAGAGGGCAGCAACACGTCACAGTATATATCTAATCGAGCCCGACTCGCTTTGTTGCCTTTTTTTTAAATACCTAGTAAATAATAGCTCAGAAAATTTTCAAAATTATATGTAGTAGCTATACTTATCCATTACCTACCACTCAATAGACCACCGGCGTTGAGTAGAAAGAATTCCCGGAAATTCTACGGATTTTCGGAATTAAGCAGTCAGAATCCGAATGGCACCGTAATAGAGGATAGGAGACCCTATAGGGAAGCCTTGGAATGATCCGCTGACCGAAGAGTAAGGAGATGAACTTCTTCAGGAGTTAACGATTTAAACCAACATATTTCCACTAGAAACCTCTCCTAAAGAGGAAGGTGTGTAACGAGATGTTTCCGTTAATACTGGAAGTAACGAAAGGAAGTTATGAAGAACAGTGTGGCGACATATGACAGTGGCTGAAAGAGCAAAGCAAAAGATGAATAGTACGTGGGACGATGCCTAATCGGGCCACTACGCGGGCGAGTGAGACCAACTATATAGTGGAATGAAACGTGGGAGGGTGAGACCATGTTTCGAAACACAATGATGGCGTTGGCGGTATCTACCACTATCAATTCAGGGCCGACATCCAACTGTTCCAACTGGATGATTCCGAACTGCGCTGTCGATTTAGACAAGGGACTAACGGGTAGATGAAATGACTCACGCCGTCCGGAGACAGGTCCCCGATACCAATGTCGCATACGCCCCGAACTATTTAGAGCCGTGCGGGTGGAAAAGGATTCGCAGGTAATAGGTGTCTCCTCCACGGTCTAACCGCCCTGGCTGAGAGTATAAACGTAGGAGAGCTGGCAGGCCTCCACAACAGATTTGTGTCATAAGTCCCTCAATAGCTGCCTCCGAACAATGTCGTCCTCGCTACTAAAGTGGATAATCAAAGTTCGTCTAACGTTGTTGAGCTTCACTCACTCTACCGTGTCATGCTGATGCAATCTTGGCATTATCGGGTCTCCCGCCACCGACCTTGCGCGGAGTAGACGAATTTGCTTTGCACCTGGTTTTCGTAAGGTTTACGAAGAAAACCTGGCTGGCATCCAATCGTGAATGATAACAAAACACCCTGGGAAAATCCTCTTACACATGATATCAACTACTGTGTTCATGTGTGACAAACGAAAAACACGACGGCCATTCTACCTCAAATAGAACGTAATATGTAATCCATTACTCGAAAATCTTATGTGCATCAAATGAGAGATTACTTTAATTTACTCGCAGTAGCATGCTTCACACTTTATTCGATATTTATCATCGTGATGGTCATGTGCAGTAGACGTTCTTCAACTCATAGAATCTTTAATTCGGTGGTAGGCTCTGGCGGCGGGGAATATTTTTTTCATTTTCTATGTAACATTACACGCGGAGGGGGAAGTGTTCTATCAGCCGTTATGCTATGAATATCCTCGGAGATAGAACCTTAAAATGTGTATATTAAATAGGTCGGGTGGAATGAGTAAACTATGGAAATTGATACATCCTTTCCCATATATTATTTTATATCATCGCGGCCTCTGAAACGCGTTTCTAACCTCGCTTCTCATGATTCTGACTCATGCGCGTTATAATCCTCCCCTTCGGCTCGGACTATAAAGCCGCATTCGTCACATTCACTTTTTCCGTCCTAGGCGTGAAAAATACTATTACTTAGATGAGTTGGAGAATGGTGCCCGAACAGAACCTCAATATTTATTACCTTCACGAATTGTTACCAAGAACTACTTATTCCATTGTAGCCTAATTTTTTAACATTTCGCGAGGAAGTTAAGATAATTCGTCGACTCTGTCAACGGTTGCAGCTTTCTCGCTCTGATCATTCTATCATTTCTCTCTTGTAGACACACACTCTATGCATATGGAAGGGACAATTTCTATGTCAAAAGTCTTGCAATCGATACCCCAAAAGGTACACGAGTTAAGGAAAGTCTACGGTACACAGGGAATAAATTGAAATTAAATATAGAATTATCCTCACCTCTCGGGAGCAATCGTGATACCCAGCTTTGTACCTCGACAGACCTGGTTGAGTTAATGATCTCTGTCGCTGCAAATGTCGCACAGTCAGTTCCAGAATATCTGCTTTCTCAAGTTTGCTATGTTTTGTATTTTCCAGACGTGCACTGTCCAGTATCAGTGCTTTAAGAGCTGCTAGTGACTGATTTATTCTTGCACGCCTTCGTTTTTCCATAAGTGGTTTGTTTGCCTGAAATGCCAATGAGCAATATGTTAAAGAATTTTTTACGCCTAAAAATGTCCTTTGACAAAGTGCTGTAAGGCCATTTCTTTACTGGATAATTGCAACACAATTTTCATTGCTCACCATTGCTCGAACATCGAATACCATCTCCTTTGTACAGGCGTATTTTCCATTGTGTCATATGGATGTCCAACTATTTTTCCGAGTACCTCACCGAGATCATTTTCACGTTAGTTGGTGATTAAGTTCAATAATTAATTTTGATATTAGTTATTAACCAATTTAACAGACAATTCCATAAGTTGGAATTAGGTTTTGTGCGCCAAACAAGTTTCACGCCGTTGAATAAAATACGACAACCTAATTTTATTTTGATTGTATGTTACTTTTCCTCAAGCCTATTTTCGCACCCTTTTCCTCAGCCCGGCATTATCCAAGTAGCTCACCAGACAAAGTCTTTCGACAAAGTTCCCTAACCCTGTTTGTATCCGAAATATTTAACAATTAAACAATTTCCTCAGAAATTCGAAGAAACACGGCTTTGCTTTTCGGGATTATTTTTAGAAAAAACCGTGGTAAATGTATGGTTTTGGTCCAACAAAAAAAAAATCATCGAAATATTAATTTCTTTGATCAAAAATCCATTCTAATTCTCTCAGTTACCAAAAACAAGATGAACGAAGAGAGTCAGAAACAACAAGGAGGGAAATACATCGAAAAATAGTTCTGTGGTACACTCTGTTATCCTTGAAATTCCTTAAACTACCACCACCCCCACCGTCACCACCACGACCTAAACGACTTAACGAGATTATTGTGATCGGCTTATACAAGAACGGTATATCTTTTCGTTTCTTCGAAGTATTTGACGAATACGTTAAGAAAAATGGCCTCGCCCTTAATAAAATCCACGACCAACAAAGCCATTAACCATTTTGATGCTGGGGTGACATGAATATGGGTATTTTCTGCCCACATGCGTATGAAGGCAGAAAAATCGTATTCAACCCTCGGGAGGAAACACAGACAAGCATTCGCCTTCGGCACGGGTGCTAATTTTGCACGTGGGGAGGACTTGTCTACTTTTCCTCTTTAGGGGAGAAATATACTATTTCGAATAATATGTCAATATTATCGACATATTCGTGTCTGCACTTTTAACCTCTTACCGACGCCACGAGCTAGGAAAATTGATTCATGTCTTTTTTTTTTATTATCAGGAAACTGACTGGATACGTAGATTGCATTGAAGGCTTGAAGGAACTACCTAATTCTCCTTAAAAACGGATTTACAAATGTATCCGCAATAAGAACAGTGGCAAAAGGGTTATAGGTTTTTTCTGCGGCAATGAATCAGTTGGTCAGAGTCATTAAATAAAGATGTATTAGAGCATTGATTAATTTCTTTGATATCTATGCATTGAAAAAAGAAAAATTCACCTTTTAAGTTTTAAACTTAATTTCTTTCGTTTTCCCAAGATTTTGAAGCTGATGGGTGCAATCATAAAAGAGGCTAACCCAACATATCGTCGATTAGGTGATACCGTTGGCTCCAAAGAGTTTCAGATTGGACGAGGTAAATAAAAGTTCTTAGAATGTTCGATGTCGCCAATGGTGCCGTAGGAAACCAAAATGAGATCGTCACCTACCAATCAATCCAAATGAAGAATGTTTGTGACGCTTACGGTTCAGTCGCCATTACTGGATGGATCAAAGAACATTTCAGAAGCATCTGTACAGCCAACTGCTCGAGTTACGGCAGTGGAATGATTTGTACAGACGTTGATCGCACGTCGATCCACATGACAACATTCATTCCCAGCGACGATCTAGTTGAGGGAATAAAGGTCGAAGTTCAAGAAATTGATCGTCGAGTGGATGTGTTCGTGTTAAACGTCACTAAAATGGATCACATCAGACTTATTTCTGAGGCTCCCATCATGAATGAAGGTGAAATGGATGACGCTGTTGAATAGTTAAAATTTGGGGACCCCCCCCCCCCCCCTTCTTCCGCCATTGTCAACAGAAATGCAAATGAATCTTCGTAAAACGGAAACGCAGAAGTAGTGCACAAATTTATCCACCGCTTCTAATTTTTATTGTTGCTACTAATCGTTGATTCGTGCTAAGTCTAAAACAAATTTCTTATCTTTTTGTCTTCCAGTTAACTAATTTTAATCCCAGAAAATGTATTTTTATACATTTTGTATCAGAAAGAAAAATTGATTAAGACCACTTCATCATTCTCCTCATCCAGATCAGATCCTTCCATTCTGAAAAATGGTTGACAGTTCAGAAACAAATCGATCAACTCCATTTCATCGTACTCCTATTGCAGATCGTGGAATGAATTATTTTGAATGTTCATAAAAAAGTGAAAAAAATGAGATCGGAAATGGATCATTCAGCATAGAAATATTCTTTCTTTTTTATTAGATTCATTCAGCATGTCAATTTTCTTTCTTTTTTATTTAATATTAATGTAATCGTATACCTACGAATAACACTAAAAACCTTAACCAAAAAATATACATAAGTTAGTGAATATTTCAATTCAGTAAGACCCGTGATTGTTATAACATATGCTGATGAAGATACGACTGACAGACTGTCATGTGATATTCTTTAAAGAGATATAATGCATTAAGGTTAGAAACAAATTAGGACGTAATTCATTGGAATGAAACAGAGCATGTGGGCTTCGCAAAAAATGGTAGATTTTGCAGGACAGTAAACTCTGAAGTTTTTTACATCTGTTGTGGACGGCGCAGTTTCTACTATTAACATTTTTGTATAACTGGAAACTTGCTGTAACAACACAAGGAAAGGGACCTTCAGAAAAATCCCACATAATAGCGACAAATGTCCAGCCTAAGTATCGATTATGCGAGGTAACCACAATAAAGGAGACTACCTGGCAGGTATTCAAGTGGCCTGAGAGGCGTTAAGGAGTGACCATCAAGGGGACAACACCTGGAAACCACGAATGATCTAAACAGAAGTGACACAATTGTTGAAAGGCACCACTAAAGAGATCCTTCTCACTGCTTTTCTTTCCTCTATTGAATTCGGGGGCCAATAACTTAAATAACACTCCAATGGTAACCGCAGATAGGAGCTGCCCCAAAGAATTAAAAATGTCGGCAATTTAGAAATGGACCACCTCAACCACGGGTTCGTCGATAACGACAAAGGAGAAGGCAGGCCAATAAGGGTTCGAGTGCCTCCCCCCATTAGTTACAGGGGGTTGGCCGAGGCCATGACGTCACCTGCACCCCATATCCAACGAAAGTTATGCGATGGCTTCCAGGAGTTGGCACAATTCACCAAATGATTTCTTGTTGTCCAAATAAGGGGACATCTCCAGCCTCAAGGAATCCACTCCATTTAACATGAGAGTCTTCTAATGAACAATAGTTATCCATCGTCAAAGGAGGTGTAAAATTTATGGGCCATGAACGTCAGAAAAATGCGTAAATATGACACTTTTGACATTAGAAGAACATTAATTAGAGAGAGGCCAATGCGCGCTTGTCGGTATTTTTCTTAAAAACTTATCACAAAGGTGAGGGTTGTGATGAACCCCAAATTCATCACCCGTACGAACAACCAGCGCAAATTTTCATGTAAATAATTAAGGGAAAGAGAAATGTGAATAATTGTAACGGCCGGCGGGAAGGTAAGGAATGCATGAGAGTGTGAATGAGAGAGGGCAGGAAAATAGAAACGGGGAATAACGACGGAAAATATCGAGCAAAAAGTGCAATAGAATACAGAATAAGTAATCCATTAGAGGCAGCGGGGAGGGAATTACCGTATGGATACCGTGAAGTGCCCAGGAGTCATCTGCCGAATACGTGCCCGGCAAGGTCCTCCGCCCTAGAAAGGGCCAAGCTTGCCAGAGGCTAGAGAAACTGCAGACCAGGCAAGGATCTGTGGGGGAGGAGACGCGCGGTTAAGTCGGAGTGATGACCCGCACCCCTGAATGTCGTGGGGATGGACCACCGAAGATGGGAGGCCTCGTCGCGGTAAGAAACCCACCGCCGCGGGGGTACCCGGCAAAGAAAAGTACCAGGTGGAAAATCTCCCGGGGGCAAACCGCGCCAACATTTCCCAGCTCCTGGGCGACTCGAGAGGAGAAGAGGACAGGAGGGAAGAAGGAGGGGAGTGATAAGAGAAACGTTGAGCAGAGAGTCGACGGTGAGCCGCGGTAGCGTGCGGACGACCCACGAGTGGCGACCCGCGAGGCCTCTTGGCCCGCGCAGTCGGCCCCGGGGCGATGATTCCTTGCTCGAGAGCGACCCCTAAGGGACCCCGAGGAGAGGAGGATGTCCAGGAGTCACCGTCGAGGCTCCAGCCCGGGTGGCGACCCTGGATAATACCGATATCCGAGGGCGATCCCTTTCCGCCCCGAGAGTCATGAAGTGACATCGGGAGGCAGAAGTGCGGGTTGCCCCAGATAGTTGCCGTTCCGATGCCGCCCACTCGCAATAAAATAAATAATACATAATAAAAGACAGGCCGAAAATCATAATAATTAAATAAGTCCTAACGAGGAGACGAGTGTGGCCCGCGAGAAATGGACAGTTGGTAGCCGCGAGGAAATGGCGAGTAAGAGAGAGTAGAGAGACAAGGAGGAGTGTGAGTGTGAGTGTGCTGTCCCGCCTGGCCGAGTGTATAAACACGAATAAGTGCATAATAGGAGCAGGTATAAGTGAAAAGAGATAATAAAGGATATGTTGACGATCACGCGAAGTCGAATAAATCCCCGGACCCCGCCCTCTCTCCAAAACCTACATACTGGGCAGCACAGGCACGTAGCCCCATCCTAGCACCGCATCCCCTGGAGGAGCAGTTAGCGGATCTGACAAAAGGCAGCATAGGGGTAAGTGGGAGCATCAAGGGGCCGGTTAGCGGATCCGGCAAATACCAAAAACGCAGTCTCAAGGGTTTCATCGAGCCGCAGGTTAAAAGCCTGGTCTCGTCCAGGGGTGGCACTGGGTTAA